ACGAATGTAGGGCACGTCAAGACACAAAACTCCTACAGTGGTTCTCAAAATCAATGACACATGGTTGACAACTTACCTCGTACAAGTAGAGAAGAAGACAGTGACATTCAGCGCAGTAAACGAAATTATCGACTTCTACGACATTGCCGTTTGCTTTATCACAGTTCTATAAATATGTATTCCTTTGTATACTATGATATAACAAACACAATATACACTAACACACAACACATACAAATTACTGAAAAATAATCACTGTATGCTGCAATATTCATATGCAAAAGAAGATAAAGAAAAATAAAGAAAATCTAATGAAAAAGGAATTGAACCTATATTAAAAATATACTAAAATGTAATAAATTAAATTTATCTGATTATACCAAACTAAAACTAATTAACTTATTATTCTATAACTATTAAGTAATGTATAATTAGAAAAAAGAGCTAAAAATAAATACTATGTTGATTTATCGAGTAGCTCTTTAAAAGTTTTAACTCCGTCGTCGAAATGATACTGTCCTTCCAAAGCTGCCATCGTTAACATTCTAACTTTTCCCATTACCATACGCTTATTCAAAAGCGTGCTTCCAGATATTGAGACGGTTCGTTGTCAGTTTCTTTCAGTTTTGGAAGGACAGAATCACTTCGACAACGACACTTTTGAAGAGCTACTCAATGCGATAAGCGAACATAGCACTTATTTTCATTTCTTTCTTCTAATTATACATTACTTTACGGTTATTAAATAATAAGTTAATTAGTTCTAATTCGGCATAATCCATTAAAGTTAATTTACTCAATTTTAGTGTACTTTTAATATAAGTTTAATTTATTTTTGTTTTGTTCTTATTCTCTGTTTTCTATTTTCAAGTCTTATGTGTGCTTGTGAATGTAAATATTATAGCGTACAGTGATTGTTTTTCAGTGATTTGTATGTATTGTGCGTATAATGTACGTTACGTTTGTTATATTACAGTGTATAATAGAATACACATTTGAAGAACTTTCCGACATGCACCAATGTTGTAATCAAGTAAACGGTAAGGTAGAAACCGGCATTGCCTTTTAGAGCGTCGAATGTCACAGTTTTCTATTCCACTTGTACAAGATAAGCTGCCGGCCATGTTTCGTTAGTTTTGAGAATCACTGTTCTACCCGTGTCTTAACTTGCCATAAACTGGCTGGTGTTAGGAGGTTTGCTCTACCTCGGGGATATCTTTAATTGTTAATATCTAAAAAAGAAAGCTTCAAACCCAATTTTGTTATTCTTTATTTTCATCTTATTTTAGCTTGTATAATCACCCCTTAAATTTTCTACCAACTGTTGTTGAACACCCTATGTACTATCTATGTATTTTAAAACTATAAATGAAATCTATGTGCATTGTATTAAAACATTATTGCTTATAAAATCCTTAATTACAAACTAAAAAGTGCCATCTTTTACAGTAGTCATTGTACTGGCTAAATTTATTTAATTTAGTTAAACAAATAAACAACTTCAACAATGTTTCTTTGATCTCTTAACAAAGATTTCTTCTTACTCTTTCCATAATTTACTGTTTGAGAATTCTGTAATGTTAAGTGTCCTTTTACTATACTGATAATTTTAATTGCTATTTCTACTGTTTCAAGATATTCACTTTTCACCCATCTTCTAAATCATATTATTCAATAAAAAATTCTTCATTGTGAAATATATTTCATTAATATTATGAATTATTAAATCTATTCGTGGTTTTAAACAACACATACTACCATTAAATTTAAAAACCAAGTCGCGCTTTTTCATTGATACAATTAGACAATGAAGCGCTCCTTTTAAATCACGTTATAATTGAAAGAGAAGGGTTTAAATATATAAAATTATTAGTACTGCCACCCGTTTAAAATTTCTTTACCTTTTGACTTACCCTTGTATAATTTAGCGTTGTCATTAATAATTTCTTTTGTTTCCAGTTACTGCGAATCATCCGCCTCAAAGACCATGGATACCATTGACAAGACCGAATAGGACAAGACCAACGTGTAAGTTACGCTGAGTTTAATTACATGTAACATTTTGACTGAAAAATCGAACGAAGTGATAGAAGAGTATTGGAACTACAGTTGTTCGTAAACTGAATACTTCAAACCGTAATTCTACGCTCTAAAATGACACTATGAGCTAGTATTATTTGCAAACTACAGTAGTGACATAAACTCATTATCATCTTTGATCTGTCATAACCTTCCACTATTTAACAAGTCTGATTTATTACATTTCGTATGCGACCGATAACAATTCTACAATTTATGCAACAGGTTGAAAGTATGATGATATTTCAGTAATACAATTTGAAATTCAAATTTTGTTAGGTGTATCCTGTAGCCTGATTTATGATCACCCCTTGCATGCAACTAGTTTTTGTTTTGAATAGACAATAGTCATTTATTGCATTGCCTGCAAACCTAGTCTCTAGGTCTAGACATGCCATAAATCCTGGAGTCTCCAAAGGGCCAAATTAAAGGTGTCTCCGAATTTTATCATCGTCGGTGAGCCACTTTGACAAAATCCAAGCCTCGTGGAGATTTCACAAGATTCCCAAGCATTCGTCCACCGAACACTTTCTTCGGTCATTGTGCACCCCACCCTTAAGATAGCGTGTTAAGGGTAACTGGAAGGAGGTCTCGATACATGTAAAATTGTAAATTCACCAATCAGGGTGTTCCACAAACAACTAGTCAAAGAGACCACGGAGACTCCGGCAGATTCGTTTAGGAGGTCTCGATACATGTAAAATTGTAAATTCACCAATCAGGGTGTTCCACAAACAACTAGTCAACACTTCGGCAGAGGTTTCAAAACAATATTGTGTAGGGTACAGGTGCACGCATCGTTGCATCGCTGTCGCGACCGATCCGCATTTGTTTGCCCGGGAAACCACCAGCGGTAGTGGCCACCTAGATTTCGACTGTTTTATGTACATATTCGAGTACTCGTGAGATACCCGGGTCGATCGGGTTATTTTCATCTACCCGGGTATCTCATGGGTAGTCAGATACCCGGTTAAAAGTAATAGCCCCAGTTTAGAGCCGCTACGCACTATCGACCAGTCGTCGGCAAGCACTGGGTTCAGGACAATACACGAGCTCGTACGCATTTGATCCAAGCGACCACGAAAACACAAGCACTGGCGTTAAATAAAGTACATTGAATGTGTTGCGCCTACTCGTGTTTGATCTCATGATCGCTCGAGTGTTGCTGATTTTGCACGCGGTGTGCCGACTGAGGTAAACTAAAGTGTTCGAAAGACCACTTCCGTGTTTCGGAAGACAAAAAATGACTATATGTATCGGTTTCTAAGAGAGCTATTCCGCACGGTGATCTAGAGGATTCTGGTCAATCGAGGAACCGGAGAATCCCCAAGATCCCTCGGCCACGATACATTCGGCGGAGATGAGATGCGCGGATTGGTCAACTACATTTGTGACGGGGGAAATTGGTGCACGTGAAAAAATAATGTACCATTGGGGCCTTCATACCCAATGTTAAGCACTCGGGTACTAATTTCCGCGTGCTTCGAATATTGCACTAGGTGCCGTCTGAAGATTGAATGTATTGCGTTGAGAGTCTGACGGAATCCTTAGGATTCCTGATGTAACTGCTGGTCTGTGTACTAACACTCTGTGGTCTTAAGCTAAGTCGGCCTTCTTATCGAGTCGTCCCTTCTCCAAATCTTCTGAAATTTGAAGAAGGGGCGCGAAGGGAGGTTCTTAAAATTACTAAGTGACCAACCCCGTATCACCCCCTTCCATTGCGCCCGGAGCGCGTCACGTCCTCGGAGCGGGGGTGACGAAGCTGGTCCTTGCTGGATGGAAATATGACAACAAGGGGGGAAAACCCTGCCAGGTCAACTCTGACTCTCCGACTCGTTCGGAAGGTCAGGTACCGAGAGGCCTCGGCAATTGCATCGGTTTCGGAGACCCTTTGGGGGTGACTTTATGATACCTTGCCTTACTGACTGAATAATAGCCTATTCTTTAATATTTGAGAAATTCTACGTGCCGCATGTTGACTGCAGACCGGTCTGCTAAATTAAAATAACGGTTTGCTGAACTAGAAATCACGTATCATAAAATCGTCCCCTTGCTGTCCTAACACCCAAATAGGAGACCGATAAGAGAGAATAGAGAAGGAGTAGTTGGCGTAGTGCGCAAAGCCTCGGCTGCTAAGCCGAAGGTCCCGGGTTCGATTCCCGTTGGGTCCCTCAACATTTTTCCGTCGGTTCCTATCAATAATAATTGAAATTACATGTTCCTCGATCTTGGAGTTTCCCGATCTATACTTGATTTCAAGAATCGCAACTCCAGTAAGAGTAAACTTTACCAATTTCGAAGATTATCGTTACGGAGCAGAGTAATTAACGATCTCCCACGCAGCATCGCAATTAGGTCGGGCTGTTCGGTACCGAACGTGACAATGGACGCCTCCTCAATAAGCCTAAACCGTTATCCTTTCGGCTTTATGACACGTACGATCAGTCCAAGCTATTTTAGAGTGCCTCCCTTTTTTCTAATCGCTTTATTAACACCTTTCTCGAGGACGAGGCCCAGAAGGTGTTTATGGTTATTGAACCTTTACGTTTTGCTCGCCACGTTTCCCTCAATAGCTAGTGACTTATCGTAAAGTCGCACTCGCAACACGAAAATTCAAAATCCCGTTAAGGCCAATTGCCACGTGGGTCCGAGTCCCCGGTCGCGATCATGCTCTACTCCATCATCTCGGAAATTCCGGAGTGGGCGCAATGCTCCTGACTCAGGGAGGACGACCCTTAAATTTTAAATGATATGTTAACACATCTTCGCTGGTTAAAAGATTAAAATTAAAAAAAAACAAACACAAGTAGAAGAAATAATTTAATTTTATAATAAGTTAATTTTTATTCCACTTTGCTTTCGAGCGAATCGAGTGTTGTTGTTACATCGTGTATTCACGGCATATTTATTTTCTGTTACAGGTATATTTACAGTAATGTGTTATAATGTGCTCTGTGACAAATATGCGACACGGCAAATGTATGGTTATTGTCCAAGCTGGGCGCTTGATTGGGAATATCGGAAAAAAGGGATTCTCGACGAGATACGACATTACGCAGCAGACATTATCAGCCTGCAGGAGGTCGAGACGGACCAATTCTACAATTTCTTTCTGCCGGAGCTCAAACACGACGGTTACGATGGAATTTTTTCTCCAAAGTCTCGAGCGAAGACAATGGCGGAAAACGATCGTAAATACGTTGACGGCTGCGCTATTTTTTATAGGACGGCCAAGTAAGTGCAACGTAGTTGAAAATGTAATTAGAAGTATTATAGAGTGTTCGGCAACAGTTGGTACAAAATTAAGAAATGATTCTACAAGCCAAAAAGACGAAAATTAAGAATAACAAAATTGCGTTTGAGGACTCATTTTTTAGTTATTAACGTGTAAAAATATCCCTGTGGCCGAGCATACCTCCGTACACCAACGAATGTACGACATGTCAAGACACGGGAAAGATGAAAACCACGACAAAAAAATGGGTTCACGATTTCCATTAAAAATAAACACAATTTGCTTGGAACGACAATGATAAAACATTGTTACATGATGAGAGTGGATTTATTCGATTAGTATTTATCTAACTATTCTATAATATAGAACACTAAAATGCATCACAATAACAGTTCTGTTTCTTGTAAATTTCTTTTAAATTCAACGTATTTAAGAATGTTGAATGAAATGACAAACGAACACAATGTAAACAATTTTTATACACAACGTGTCCCAGATTTTTCGGTCAAAAAATATTCAAAATATATTCGATTTGTTAATATCTTCTATGGCGGTACCTCCTACGCTCCACCACCAGAGGGACGGGCAAACCACTAATTCCCACTAGTCCTTACTATAGACACTTCGTATATACAGGATGTTTCGTAAAGAGTGTAACACTCGGAAATGGGAGATTGCTGGGGTGACTCTGAACAACTTTTTCCTTTACCAAAATGTTGCTTGAAGCTTCGTTTTTGAATTATTAACGAAAAACACTGGCCAATCAGAGCGCGCGTAGAGCCCGCGCCCAGACACGGGAGAGCAGAAACTCATCCGCGCGCAATCGTGAACAAACGCATTGGCACAGCGTGGGTATCGAGGGAAGCGTGCAGCAAATGATACATCGTCTTAAATTAAGAATAATCTGGAATTATTCGTTATTCACGAATAACAAATAAACCAATAAGTCGGACCAATTCTACGTAACTTGTCCACGGTACCGAAAAGAATTTTTTATTCTAATAGGGAAGCGTGCAGCAAATGATACATCGTCTTAAATTAAGAATAATCTGGAATTATTCGTTATTCATGAATAACAAATAAACCAATAAGTCGGACCAATTCTACGTAACTTGTCCACGGTACCGAAAAGAATTTTTTATTTCTAATAGAACACATTACAATATGCATAAATAATATGTCAATAGTTAGAAATAAAACTATTTAAATATGCTGTGTGATGCATTAGGTGAAAATTTTACAAATACTACCATTTATTCAAATTAAATGCTTTTACTAATTTTGAGATCGCCGGTCACCAATCACCCCCACTAATTTTGAGAAATTAATAACTGTTTTCGATACTTTTATTCGTTATCCGAAAGGAATAAAGTGCTTTATTACTTATGAACAACTTACCCATTCGTCCACGAATTAACCTGCTTCGACGGAAGTGGGTCATTGTGCCGATCCTGACTTTTCAAGGCAACCCTCAACAGCTGATGTTACGGCCGGATCGACGGAAGTGGGTCATTGTGCCGATCCTGACTTTTCAAGGCAACCCTCAACAGCTGATGTTATGGCCGGGTCGATGAACTCACTTCACTGCACAGCCACTTTTACTGTTTTCGACGATATTATAAAAAATAAATCGTTTACTATACGCTTCCCTCGATACCCACGCTGTGCCAATGCATTTGTTCACGATCGCGCGCGGACGAGTCTCTGCGCTCCCGTGCCTGGGCGCGGGCTCTACGCGCGCTCTGATTGGCCAGTGCTTTTCGTTAATAATTCAAAAACGAATCTTCAACCAACATTTTGACAAAGGAAAAAGTTGTTCAGAATCACCCCAGCAACCCCCCATTTCCGGGTGTTACACTCTTTACGAAACACCCTGTATACAATTTCTGACCTATGTAAGTATAAAAGTTCCCCGCGTCTAAGGCTGAGGTTTCCTACCTAGCCTTACTGACAAGTTTTGTCCGATGGCGCATCGTCCGACCAGTAAAATCATAAAAGCGCATAGAAATACACCTTTTTTCCAGCTTTAATTCTAAACTCTATACAAATTCTCTTCAGTTTGTAATTTCAAGACCCCAACAAAAATTTCTCTCTTGCCATAAAACAAGGTCAAGACGCATTCTAGTCATTTTCACCATCCTTCTCTCTTTTCCGGGTTTTTCCTACATTCCTCCAGTTTTCAGAATCCTACTACTATGTTAAAGTTGTTAAAGTTAAAGAGTCAAAAGTGGAAACGGGTGGAGCGAGGAGAATACCTCTCTTGTCCCTGTGCCGTCTCACCAGTAACTTTTTTCATCTCTGCATTAAAAAGAAAATTTTGTCAAGTCAACTAACACGACTCAACCATGACTCGTAAAAATCATTGTTCGATATTAACATTGAAATGTAATATTCCATTTCTCACGTCGTTCTTATGATTTTTTTCTCGCTCTTTCACAGATTTACTCTAATAAAGGAGCATTTAGTCGAATTTAATCAACTAGCAATGGCCAATGCAGAAGGGTCTGACAACATGTTGAATCGGGTAATGCCGAAAGATAATATTGGACTGGCCGCCTTGCTTAGGACCAAGGAGGCTGCTTGGGACAACGGTAAGTGATCTTATAAATTTGTATTTATTAATGACAATCGCAAATATGAATAATCAAATTCCTTTGAATTCGTACAATTTAAAATTATAGCAAATAATACTGCCTAGTATTAACCTAGTATTAGGCCATTATTTTATCGGTATAAAAGTTCGTTCGTTCGCAATTGATGTTCAATACTTGGTATAGCCGGTGGAACCGATATAGTGAAGTCGTGAAACCAGTCAGATATCAAAGTACACGTATGTAGTGCAAGCGCCAAAACAGCCATTCAGTGGAGATAAGGAGCTTGAGTCTCGCTGTCAACTGGGCCGTCCGATGTCAACTCGAAATTGGATCTTCCATGGCAGTATACTTAAAACATTTGTCTGCGCCTTAATCGTTGACAGCTGCAGGTTAATTTTTACCAATACGGAATTTACAATTGAGCAGGAGGCTTAATACCGTATATTTTAGATGCAAAATTGGAAGCAGCAATTTGAAATATCATTTGACAAATAACGCGTACAGCCCTGAGTGCGGCTACATATTTAATGCTTTAATTTACGACCTCATTATTATAAGATCGGAGCCTCTGTGCTTATTAAAAAGGAACAAATAACAACGAGAAAGTCAAGAGGGCGTCTTGGCTATGGGCCTAAAGTCCCGGCTTGCCGGCTTACTGGTCCCTCGTATTTTTCCTCAGCTCCTACACTATATCGCTTCCACCAACTATACTTAGCGACGCGTTACCTCGAAGAATGATATCACGATACCACTGCCCGGTGTGGTATTGAATACACACCGCTATATTTAATTTCCTCTACAAAATATTAAGTTCTACATGCAATTTATTTAGAATTACATATCACATAATGTTTCTTCTCGATACACCGTAATTCTTTTGTGAATTTCACGGAGTTGTAAATAAGTTCTGCTTACGCTCGTTTGCAACAATGTACAAAACGTTGGCTATTATGAAATTAATCACAGCCTCGTTGAAATTTAAGATTTCGTGATATCAGGTTATATGGTTGACGTGCTGTCGTGTTGTTGTGTATATTTTCATGGTTTACTACGAGTCGTGTTTTACAGACGTATTATTACAAAATATCGTGTTTGAATTAGTGCTCTTACTATCCGAATTACTCATTATAACTCGATCTCAATCGAAATACAGATCTAAGTATCCGAATATCCGTACTTGGATCCGACTATCTGAGTACACCTGCTTTAGGATACTTATCATAACAAATATAATAAAACTCTCCTTATTTGGATTATGAAATATATGTGCACGTATGATGAAAGTAGTATGCATAATACTGTGGAGTATAAGAAAAAATGTAATTTATATGTAATATTAATGTAACGTTAATTTACGTGTAACTTATTCTCTCAATACATAACGTAGTTGACGACTTGACGACAATTGATTGTCGAGAATCGTTAGTTGTCGATCGCCTGAGAAACAAAAGATGTAGCCCATTTTTATCTGTAAATGCAATTATCTCCAGAACTGTGCGTTACTCAAAAACATGTTTCAAATAGAATTTGTTTGTTTCGAGGGGGAAGCAATTTAGTATAGTTAGTTTGTCTGTATGTGGACGCGTGAAGGACATATGAAGGTCAACACTATTTTTTAAAATGGAATCATATAATTTTTTATACATTAGTCGATGCATCTCGGTATTCTCTACAAAACAGTATTAACGCGTATTTATGTCGAAAAGTCATTAGTTTAGGAGATATTGTAATCTCAATATGTATTACAAAATGATTATAGTAGTCTTTCAGAACAGTAAACATTACTACTACAATCACTTTGCAATACACATATGAATAGGTTAACACACTGTTTTTAGCGAATGATGAGCTGAATCGTTTGATGCATTAAAAAATAGGATTTTGTATTTAAAAAGAAAAACTTTACCTTCATATGTCCTCAACGCATATCCACTTATAAACATTCTAATCATATTATCATACAATGTCCTCCTCGAAACCCTTCAACTTTTGTTTGAAGCCTTTTTTGATGTAATTAACAGTTTTGAAAATATTTCAGCTTCGAATCTTTGGTGACTCACCCGATATATAAACGGGAGCCTTTAGTGAGGGCTAGCGAGAATTGGTCGTTAGTCCGTCCCTCTGGTGGTCGAGCGTGTGAGATACCACCACAAACTCTGGAATATTGCCCGTTTTTCTTGAAGAAACATTTAAATTATAACAGGAGAATGTCAATGCATCGTACAGAGTCCATACTTTTGTTTCATATTTGCCAGGTTTATATGGCATATAAACTTTAAATGGGCAACGATCCCAAATATTGACGAGCTACTCGTCATTTGTGCCCTTACTCGAAGCCTCATACGATTCCAGACAATTTACTGCAAAAATAGTTGTCACATTTCTGAGTGGTGTCAACTTATCTGCTAGTTTTCTTTCACCTCTGGTATTGAAATCATCGAAGGGAATAAATCGTAGAATTTCTCTAAATCTGTCCTGAGACATGATTCGTACTTCCTCGGAATTCCTTAAATCGACCAACAGTCAACAGCAATCCAAAAAATGCGTCAAGTTTCTTTTCTATTGTTCCATCAAATTCTTCGGGTTTTTGGTTCGTGTACCAAATTATTATGTCTATGATTTCACCGTTGATGAAAAGGTGGAAAGCACTCTTGCATAGTACAGATAATTCCGCTTTTTGCAGTCAAATTGCTATTGCGAACTATACATTGTCAATTTTTTATATTCGAAGCAATGCAGTACTTCCACGCACATACATACGTCCAGCAATAATTTATTGTCGTTAATTGTACTGTTGTTCGTTTCGTTATCGTTATGTAGGTTTCTGCCTACGTATGAGTATGGTTTATTTATATTTGCCTTTTCCATTATTGTGCGGACGGTGTTTCCTAGAGGTGTGCGAAGACCCGAAAATGTTGGGAAGCCGATAGTCGGAGCGGGTCGGAAAGAGTTCGAATCAGGTTCTCGAAAATTTCTCGCGACTTGAGAATTTCGAGAACCCAAATCACGTTTCAGGACTAGTTGTAATACGACCATAATACGCGCCCTAAACTAGTTCCCACACGTGATTCGGGTACTCAAAATTCTCGGGAATCCCGACATTCTCGAAACGCGAGATATTTTCTAGAACCCGACCTGATCTCGAGAAAAATTCTCGACCAGACCCAACCCGACTCGATGCCGAGAAGAATTCTCAACCCGACCCAACGTGACCCAACATTTTCGGGTTCTTGCACACCTCTAGTGTTTCCATTGTCAACAGGTTGGATTGTCAAGGTCGTTGGTATTGCTATTAAGTGTATTACTGTATTTATATTTGGGTTGGTCGTGAGACGGTTTCTGAATGGTGGATAGATCTGTGCTTGAATTTGTTTTCTGATAATGCACCCTTTATGGTTGGGTAGATGTTTCCCTTGACAATTTACGTTCTCGACATTTTCTATCCGTCTTTGCTGGGGGCATCGCTTGTTAAATGTTCTTGGGCACATTTTACACAGACTGGTTTTCTATTGCAATAGTTCTTTTTATGGCCTAGTGTCTGGCATCTCATATATGTATGTAGTATCTGGCATCTTCTATTGTGACAATTGTGTTGCATATTAGATTGCTATTATATATTTCTTTATTATTAGCTGTTGGAGTTAATTCCACAAGGAACATTGATAAAGGAGTTAGAGGTGTTGTTTTTCGTTTAGTTTATTACATTTAATGCTTGGTGACCTTCTTATTCTAAATCGTATTTTATTTTTTTGGTATCAAGTTTTGGGTGGTCATTTTATAAATATTTCATATCTTCTCTCATTTTTCTCTTGAAAGGTGTAATATTAGCGTCTTTTGCTCTTAATGCTTTTATCAATTTGCTGTAGTCCTCGGGGGCAGTAATTTGGATTTTTATATGTATTTTGGTCTAGTAGCTGATAAAGTAATTTCATCAGTGGGTTCATTATGTGAACTTCAATAAATACTGGTGGCAGTTTGATCGTTTTTGTTAATGGTTCTCTGTCGTGATTTAGTATTTCATATCTGTTTGAAGTTTCTGTTGGGATAGGGTGTACTAACCACTTTATTTTTTTTCTTATATTGTCACCATTTGGAATTATTTCGATTAATCTTCTTTTCCTGGCTGTCTTAAGTTGAATCCAGTCCGACTGTTGTATTTCTGTCACAGTATCTGAATCCATATAGCTTGAGTTTTCCTCCTATAGCATGGAATTGTTAGTTGGTGGTGATTTATGTGTATTCATTTATTAAAAAGCTAAATTCTGAGCTATCGGTTTTACCAGTTCTTCAGAGATAGTAATTTGAAACTAGAATTCCACATACATACTTCAGTTATTTTTTATTACATGAAAGATTTGCAAGGAAGAAGATATAGGTTTTAACTGAATAAATATTGCAATACAGAAGTTTTTAGTCTTTCAGGTCATGGTTTTCAAGATTTCAAAATCAACACTTTCTTAAATACATAATCTTCAAATTATGTTGAACAATAAAAACCATATTTATTCAGATGAAAAAGTACAACATAATATTTGTGTATTTGTGCAAATTTGTATCTTATGTCTTACTCCTTTAAATATTTTCTCATATCAGAAACAGCAGAGACTTTTAAAATTTTTAGATAACTGCTTTTATATTATGGTAAATCTTATTTATTGGTTTCTATGCACATATATGAAGCGCTTAAAGATTTAA